AAAAGCAAATATCAAATTCTGCAGCCAGGGGTCCCACAATAGTGGCCTTTTTACAATACATGTACTGGGTAAATAGCAGGGGTATTCCTTTTTTGATCCCCAACCTGCGCAAGATTAAAAGGATATAGGCATATCATGTCTATCAACCAGAGAACTTAAAGAATACATTTAAAAAAAAATCATAACCACCATTTTTTCTTTCATGTAAGCTTTACTTTTTTGTACACAGAGAATATTTGAAAACTAAAACTAATAGTTTGGAAAAATTCTTGTTTCTTTACCAAGCAAAGAAAGTGCAATGGATCTTTGTTATGGTCTACATACAAATGTTAAAATAGATACAAGTACATGTACACTGCTAAAAATGACATTTTATGTAGAATTAAAAACTCATATATCCCTGAAAATGAGATGAAACTGATGATGACATCACTGGCAATTAAATCACTGATGATGACATCACTCATGTTGACATCACTAGCAATGACATCACTGAAAGTGACATCACAGAATATGACATAACTGACAATGACATCACTGATGACATGGCATCATTTACTAGAATAGAATCACCATTGACTCTAACAGTTTTCATAAAACAAACTTCTAGGTTTGTAGAATATTATTGATATTATTTTTGATGTATAGAATACATTCCCCTTAAAAACAAGAGGCCCAGAGTGCCTGTATCGCTCACATGGAAATGTTAGCAAAATTGAAGTTGGAAAAGCTAGATGTTGCTGGTAGTGTACATGTATTACATGGTTAGTCTGGGGATATATTTATATGCAATTCGACAATATCCTGTCATTTCTAGATTAAGATTTTGAATAATTTGCTATGTTTTCCCTATTGGGCCCTGCCCCTCTGCCCCCAGGTGGGTCAGATCCACCGTTGATACAAAATCAGGTTGCCTTCACCCAATGATGCTTTAAACCAAATATGGACAAAATCCTGTTATTCCTACAGAAGAAGAATTTTCAAGAATTTGCTAAATTACCTCTTTTGGGCCCCTCTCAGGCCCTAGGGGGGTCACATCCACCATTTACACAAAATTGAATTCCCTTCCCAATAAGATGCAACCGTTCAAATTTGGTCAAAATACCTTTATCCTAACGGAAGGAAAAGGATATTAAATCTATTCCTCTATACCCCTTATTGGGCCCCGCCTTTCTTCCCCGGGGGGTCAGACACACCGTTTATACAAAATTGGTTACCTTTCACCCAAGGATGCTTCGAACCGAATTTGGACAAAATCCTGTCAATTTTACAGAAGGATTTTGAAGAATTGGCTATGTTTCACCTATTGGGCCCTGCCCTTCTGTCCCTAGGGGGGGGGGGGGGGGGGGCACACTCACTGTTTATACAAAATTGAGTCCCCTTGGCTGAAGGATGCTTCAGACTAAATTTGGGGTAAAATCCCTTAGTCCCTACAGTAGAAGAAGGATTTTAAAGGTTTTCCCCTCTATTTCCCCTATTGGGCCCCGCCCCTTTGCCCCCAGGGGGGCCACATCCACGGTTTATACAAAATTGAGTCAAGGATGTTCCAGACTTAATTAGGATAAAATCCCTTAATCCATATGGTAGAAGAAGGATTTTAAAGGTTTTACCTCTATTTCCCATATTGGGCCCCGCCCCTTTGCCCCCAGGGGGGCCACACCCACGGTTTATACAAAATTGGGTAACGGTTAAGGATGCTCCAGACCAAATTTAGTCAAAATCTACTTGGCCGTTGAGGACTTGTAGCGTTTTAAAGGAAAAGTTGACGGACGACGGATGCTGCGGTATGGCATAAGCTCACCATGGTCCTTCGGACCAGGTGAGCTAAAAACACCATTATAGCAGGCACACAATGACATTACCAATGTAGTAATGTCAGTATTGAATTCCTTTTCATGATATATAGACAATCTGACCTAACAGAGATGAAGTACTTCTGTGGTCAATGCCTCATTTCTTTAATCTTTTAATTCCGTCTTCAACAAGCTCCCAGTTCATATCACCACCGAATTGCTCGGCCGTTGTGAACGCCTCCATCAGTGCTAGCAGTGTTGCAGCTCTTCCTGTTCTATTTTTCCACTTGATCAACAGGGACTGGTTGTGGTTGACAGCTCCGCCGAACTGGTTAGATAGCTGTATCTGCTCTACCTCTGTTCTATTTATTTTTAAAGCCATCGCCACAGACGTGATTGCCGTAGAGAATGACTTGGAGAAGTAAAGGAGATCTAGTTCTGACATTCGATGTGCCTTTAGATCGTCTGTAAGCTCATCTATTAGTATTTCTGTAGAAACATAGGGAAAAAAATTCAATTCAATTTTATGCAAGTTCATCTGACCAAGAATTCAGTTACATGTAATAGAAGTGAATTACAACAATACTAGTACAGAATGTGATAATGTGATTCTGTTTGTTCTGGTGACCTTCAATACAAGATCTTGTATGCTATTTCAGAACCGTTGGGAAAACCATTAATTTTAGCAGGACTTTTCTTCTGGTCTGAATGACCACAAAATTCACTTTATTGACACAAGTGTTATTTTTATAATGATAATTTCAGTTTTGTTAATAAGCTCCCCTGACAAAACACTTTGAGGAGAGACTTGATCTTGATGAATATAACAAATACTTACGTCCTGGACTCCTGTTAACAGTAGTATTAGGTTTAGTTGCATCAAGTTTTTTAACAATAAAGTCATAGTCTTTTTGTAATATCTCTCTAAATATTCCATAAGCTGCTGGTCCAGCTTTGTATAAAGTGTCCAAAAGGGCCCTGTTTCTTCCCTCGGTTGTATCTTTGCTTCTTATATTTTCACTGTCTGATAAATCAAAAACTCCTCGATCAATGAAAAGGTCAACCACATATGTTGCATCCAGTTGTTCTACAAGATAAGTGTGATTTTGGTCCAGTATTGACTGATCTCCTGCATTGAGCTTGCCTTTAGTCACAGGCATTTTCCCCCACTCCAATGACTGTAAAAAGACAGAAGGTTTTCATTACATGTTTGTATATTATATAATTTACTCTTCAACATATATGGAGTAGTATGTTATAACAACAGTAATAGGTACAAGTACAGGTACAGGTACAATAACAGGTACAGGAACAGGTACAATAACAGGTACAGGTACAGGAACAATAACAGGTACAGGTACAGGTACAATAACAGGTACAGGTACAATAACAGGTACAGGTACAGGTACAATAACAGGTACAGGTACAGGTACAATAACAGCTACAGGTACAGGTACAATAACAGCTACAGGTACAATAACATGTACAGGTACAAGTACAGGTACAGGTACAATAACAGGTACAGGAACAGGTACAATAACAGGTACAGGTACAATAACAGGTACAAGTACAGGAACAATAACAGGTACAGGTACAGGTACAATAACAGGTACAGGTACAATAACAGGTACAGGTACAGG